GTCAAAAAACTGACGAGGGGTCAAGCTGCCAACAACATCCTTTTTGTGTCTTTTTCAGCTTCGTTCTCCTCCTTTTGCATCCCAGCTCCCATTTTGTGACATCCTCTGATTTTCAGAACCAGTTAAAATTTTTCTTTACTTTTTAAAAATCACTTATTTGTATTTGCGGAAAATCTCAGTACAAAAGATCATTTTGATTACAAATGTTTGTTTCCAAAATGTTAAAACCCTAAGGATGTCATAATCAATACATATATATAAGTTACAACGTAAAAACCGGATTGTCCTGAAATCTATTGCAGGCTATCTCTTAATTATTCATCATCCTAATTAAGTTCCAATAACTTAAGTCTTAATACATGTGGTGCATATAAACTGAGTGGTCCAGGTTGGGAAACCTGGTGAGATACATAGGGATTTCAATCCCATAATATTTTCATGATAATATTCCTTAATTATCAGACCTGCAAAACCAACGGTTATGAAACATCCTTAAAACAAGACCAAAAATTTCATTTTTGATTTAAGTAAAAACAGTATTCCAAAACATTGTTCATACAACCCAATAAAATAAGTATGTCAAACATCATAAAAATCAAAGTATGTCCTATAAACAGAATCTATATGGTGTGTGCGATGCAGTCAACCTGAGCTCTTCCCATTGGAACTGGAAGTACCTGAAACATAAACTAAAAACCGTAAGCACAAAGCTTAGTGAGTTCCCCAAGATACCGCATACCATACATATCATATACCGGCCCCACCCACACTCGCATAATGGGCTCCGCCCAATGAGATACGGGCCCCGCCCACACTCACATAATGGGCCCCGCCCAATGAGATATGGGTCCCACCCACACTTGTATAACGACCCCCGCCCAATAACCATACATATACAAGCACATACAAGTATCACACACACAACGAGTATACTAACATAACCAATCAAGGATCGGCTTTGGTGCCTTAGACCCGCTAAACCTAGTGAGGAAACTCACATCGATGCTGAATCTCACTGAAATAAATCCATAGTTGTTGTCCTGACGACTCCCCAAGCTAACAGTACAAAATAACACCCAGTTAACACTTGGGTTTCAATCTATATCCAATAATCCAAACTTGGGTTAAAATGACCATTTTACCCCTGACCCAATATGATCCAAAACCAATGCCCAAAACCAATTGTTCCTCCAAGGCCCATTTATGACCCAATTTTCCAAATTGGGTCCAAACCTCCAATATGGGCCTTACCCCTAGGCCCAATAAATCTCCTTAGTCCAAAGGCTCGATTTCAGATGGCCCATTAAGGCCCAAAACAGCAATGTCCAACGAAGTAGCCCATCCGAGGCCCAAAAGACGCAAAGCCCAATCACTGAGTATGCGGGGCGTACTCAGCTGTACGTTAAGCGTACATGTTGCATGGCTTGTACGTTGCGTGTACGAGCTTGTACGCCCAACATACTCCTCCATTAAGCCATTTCTTCCATTAAGCTCTTAATGCTTAAGTCTAACGGTCCAAAACACAGATCTGAGTCCCAAAGAGTATAAGACAAATGTCGTCTTTGTAGTGTATTTGTATAAAAAAAATGGATAATTTTTATAAGAGTTGATGATTTTTATAAAAAGTGTGGTAAAAATGATGTATAATTACTTAATTTGAATCATCTAAATTCAAATTATTATAAAAATTTTTATCATCAAAAAATAATAACACATTACACGAAAGTTAGGATGATTCCTAATTCTTTTCGTTAAAGTTTGAGTGTTTAAGTCGGGTATAAATCTGGCGCATTTGGTGACGAATTCACCAAAAATTTGAATATGTAACATTTGTTATGAAATTGTCATGCAATATACGGTTTATGAACTCAACTACATTGTGTTATGAATATTATTTATACCTAAATAATATATAATTGAATTATCGAAATTTTTTTACGTTACTAACCCTAGTTAGGGTTTATATTCAATAATTAAAAAAGAGAGGTACTTTGAATTATAAGTTGCCAATAGTACATTAGTAACATTAGGGAATATCACATTTCTCCTAAAGTTCTAATACGAGTTGAGTTGACCTGGTTGAGTCTTGTTGACTTTGTTTGACCAAAATTGACGGTTTTCACACTATATTATTTTCGAAAATCATAACTAGGGTTAGTAAACATATCTTTGAATGTTATGTAGTAATAACAACAAAAAATCCAAGTCTTCTTGAACCTTGAGAGCAAGCATCACAAATGTCACACCTCTAGTAGATCACACTCAAACTAAGCAAGAGGATGAGAGAGGAGAGAGGAGAGAGGAAGCTTGAAATTTTCAGCTTCTCTTCTAGGGTTTCAGGTGGCCGAAAATGTGAAGGGGTAAGGCTCTTTATATAGGTGAGGTAGCTTAGAGCTAAAGCTAGGGTTTTAGGAGGAAACCCTAATTCCTTAACTTAAGGACCAAGCAGCCCAAGAATCCCCATCCAAGAGCCCTTGGACGAAAATTCTAGGGCCTTCCTAGAAGTTTTCATCCAACCTCTTCTAGGGAGGTTCTAGAGTCTCTTTCCTCGATTATCAATAAATTGCTAATCAGCCCCTGCACTTTTAATTAATTCAATTAATCCCAAAATTAATTCCAACTAATTTCTGATTAATTATTAATTAAATAATATGATTTCTAATTAATATTTTATTTTCATAATACATTAGTAAATCATTTATTTCAATTTATTAATCAAATAATAAATTCAACCTCTCTCCAAAAGTCATCATGTCTAGTTTCTGGTTATGAGGGCAACCCAAAAGGATTGTGCTACTATCAATTCAAGTATATACCAATTATAGTTATGGGCTTAGACACCTAATCCAACAGTCTCCCACTTGGATAAGTCCAATAATTGTAGTTGTCGGTATAATTTTAAAAAACTGATTAGCAAATTATAGCTCTCAAAGCCGCTGTCGAACTCTTACCGAGTCAGTTACGTGTCCTGAGATAAGTGATCATATAATCCTCCGTTTTGCAAGATATCATGTGGACAAACGACATGGAACATAATCAATCTCATTGTCCAATATTTGGTTTCCCGATCTCTGATTTGTAATGATAAAGAACTACTAATCGAACACATCAATTTTAGTCTTGGTCGGGCCCGACATTATAAGTCAACACCAAATCATCGAGGGGACCAAGATATCGCTTTTCTCGTTAGGGAAAAAGGAACAGATAAACTTTGACTTATATGCTTTCACTATTTACTCATCAAATCATGCACAACAATACGTTTTATAACATCAATTTTGCTCCTTGTTTGTTTATATGTCGACATATGGTAGTGGTGGGTTGAGGCGGTCCTGCTTTGTGCTGTAGGCTAAGATACCCGGTGTGGGCCGACTGTAAATTGGTAGGCACGGAGGCTCGGGAAGAGCGGTTTGGTTGAGGCGACAAGCCAACAAACCCTGGGTATTCCAGCCCGATGGTTGATTGGACTCGTTGCATGTTGTCATTCCAGTCCGAGGACTGATTGGGCCTGGGCATTCCAACCGGGAGGTTGTGGGCCGTTATGCATGCTTGTATGTTTATCGTATGGGGTATTTTGAGTGAAACTCACTAAGCTTTGTGCTTACCCAGTTGTTTTGTTGTTTCATGTATTATCGGTCATCATGGGAAGGCGAAGACGTGACTGTACACATTCATCAGCACAATGAAGATTCCTACGCTTTACTATTACTCTGATTTTTAATAAATGTATCTGAAATAAACGTTTTCTTCATAATGAATTTATAATTGGAACGTTTTACTTAAATAAAAATGAAAATTTTTTGTTGTGAAAATGGGACGTTACAAACAAACTATTTCAGTCGATTTGTTTTCTATTTATATTACTCTGTTTTATGGTTTAAGATGTTTTAATATATAGATTATGACATATTTTTATATAATTATTGGTAAAATGATGCTTCTTTTATTGTTTCATTGAATTTTCTAGAAAAACCCAAAAAATCGGATATCCAAATTCGAAGTCGAAATTTTGGATACAGATTGGTATATCACTAAGAACTTGATTCTCTATCTTTCATCCTAAACTTGTTTATGATGATGTTTAGTGAGTAAGTTAGATTGAATTTGTTGTAGAAAAGTCTTCTTTCAACCTTTGCTTCACCCATCCGGTTGTTAAAGATTCAACCTTTTTTTTTAACATCCTTATAATGAAGCTAAATTGAAATGAAACCTGACCTTAGGAATCATAGATAGGTAAAACTTAAGCATACACATCATAAGTTCACTATGGCTCAACATGATTTAATGAGATTAACAAATGAATGAGTTTTACCCCTTAACCCTTGAACGCCAATGATGGCTGAGAATCGTAGAGGTGTTGTTGTTCAATGTGGCCTTGTGGGAAGTAGACGACGATTTTCCCTTTCTCTGGAAATAAAATCTGAGTACAACTCCAAACAACACATATCATCACAGAATCTAAATAATATATATAACATAAAAAGAGGGGCATATTTTTTTATTTACTTAAACGGCTACACACCCTCTAAATGTGATAGGGACATTTTGTACAAAAAGTTGAAACCACAAAGACACAAGGACTATACTCGTTAAAAAAAGAAAATTAAGCATGCAAGTTTTTTTTATAAATCATGGACCATTTATATAATTTTGTCTTCTAAAGTTCTAATAATAGTCGTCTTGAAAAATACATCCAATTAAACCCCTTTGTACAGTAAAACACCGACTATAGTGTGGCAATTCTGTCATTCCCTTCTAGCGTACGCATTCTTGATTCCCTTATCCAATGGCTTACCCGTAATAATATCAAAGATCAAGCCCAGTTTCACTACATGCAATCACTTGACTCTTGCCCACGCTTTAACTTTGCCATTCATTATTGTCAGTTTGAACTCTGAATCACACTCACTTTGAATGCTCCCCAAGTCCCCATTTCTTCTTCTCCTTCCACACGTCATATTTTTTCAAATCTCCATTTTCAGTTCCGATCTCGACTAACAATGTTATTTTCCGGCAAAACAACCTCCACCGAAGACAGTATTAGTCTCATTAACTCCAAAACAACAATACTAGGGCAAAAACTATACGTCGTCATCGCCGTTACAGTAGCAGGTATCGCAGTGGTTTTCCTACTGATCTTCCGCTTTCTTCTTCATAAACATAAATCGAAACGTCGTAATAGAAGAATGCTAGTCAATCAGGGCTCAGAAGTGTTGCATTTGGCGTCGGAAACGGTGAATGTCGAAGCGAACATGAAATGCTTAGATCAAACTGATGAGAAATCGACGAAATCATTAATTAGTATGTTTGAGATGGATGATGATGATGAGGGATACGAGAGTAAACTGATAATCAAAGTTGTTGAGGGGAAATCAGATGATGATACATCGCCATCGGGAAGCAACGAGTCGAGTACAGGTACGAGTGGGAGTGGGAGCGATGTGGCGTCATCTTCGGTCTCTGCGGAGAGTTTGAAGAACATTGGTTGGGGGCGATGGTTCAGCTTGAACGAGCTTGAAATTGCGACGAATAGATTTGCAGCGGAGAATGTGATCGGAGAAGGAGGATACGGTGTTGTGTACAGAGGAGTTTTACACGATGGTTCCACGGTGGCGGTGAAGAATCTTCTTGACAACAGGTGAGTTTTTTATTTTGACTACGGCTTTCAAAAAAATTAAATTATTTGGATGTTTATTTATGATTTATCCGATATTTAGTAATATTAATAATCTGTTTGAATTTATTTTCTTGAAAAATGATAAAGATAGTTTTTTAGATCTAAGTTTATATAGTTGACCATTGTCCTAATTTAAGTTTTTCTACTAGGTGCCAAAAAAAAGTAAATGGTATCTTTATTAATCTCTTATTTCAAGAAAAAATAGTAATGGAAGTATGGAACCAATATATTGCTCTACAAGTCTACATCGACATTTCAACCTTTATATTAGGAAATAGCAATATAATTATTTATTGGTTTCCTAGAATTCTATAGGCCCAAAGCCACCTTATTAATTAATTAATGCTAAGAGGTTTTTGGATAAATAGTTTTTAGTTTATTAGCTTATTGCTTATTTGCTTATTGTGGTGAGAATAAACATTTTTTTAAAATGTGTTTGGATTAGCTTATTGCGGTGGGAATAAGTAATAAGTAATAAGCAATAAGCATTTAAGTGTTTGGCAAAATAAAACAGCTTATCTGAGTAAAATGAGCATTCCCCCTTGCTTATTAAAATCAGCTTATTTTGCTTATTCCTACCGCAATAAGCTGATTTTTAAAGACTCCTATCCAAACACTTAAATTTGCTTATTGCGGTGGGATTAAGCGATAAGCAATAAGCAACCTATTTTTTCCCTATCCAAACACCCCCTAAATATATGAGAGGCGAGAGCTGAAAAATACTACTAACGTATATATTTTGATTTTTGAATAAATATATGGGCCAGGTGACCGTTATTAAATAAACGTTGAAATATTTGATTTTGATATAAAGAATACAACAAAAATTTGACAACTCAAATATCCTGCTACCTTTTACTTTTTCTACTGGTGGATCAAGACAAATATCAAAATCATGAAGATGAGATTAAAAGAGAAAATAAAATTAATGGATTCCAAATATCATCATTTTATATAAATAGAAAGATTTGTAAGAGTAAAAGGTAAATATTTAATTTCTCTAAGAACATGATTATTGTGATCAAGACATCTGATGCACACCCACAAAAGTAAAATAATATTTTTTTGTGGAACCGGAACTTAATGACATTATCATTGTTATTGGCTTATTGCAATTTTCATTTTCATTTCCTTATTTGGATCTTTTGCCTTTTGGGGAACTTGATTTATGGTGGAACCTCTTAATCTATTATTAGTTTTTAGCTGATAAGTAACTGCTTTCGTTAAAATTTTATATTTTTATATAAGTTACTATCAGTAACATAGATGTCTGAAACTACCATATATTTTATACTAGAAACTAGTAAGAGGTACACTTCAATTTTGAAAGTACAAAACTTTCAGATGTGCATTATGAGCAGATCTTTCATTATAGAGCTATGGAATATTGAAGATAATAATAATTTTCTTTTAATTTCAAGAGAATTTCCTATATATTTGCTTAAAGTGTGAATGACTTTTAACAAAATAAGTTCTTTATTTGCTATATATGACCAAAATTAATATGAGTGTTACATTGTGTAGGGGACAAGCGGAAAAGGAATTTAAAGTGGAGGTTGAAGCCATTGGAAAAGTAAGGCATAAAAACCTCGTTGGTTTAATTGGATTTTGTGCAGAAGGTGCTAAGAGGTACATTGTATAACATTGTTACATTTTATAATACGTTATGGTTGCATTATTATCTAACTGAGATTGTTCAAGGCTGTTTCAGTTTTTCTCCTATTAACTTCTGTCACTGCAAACACAGGTTGCTTGTGTATGAGTATGTTGACAATGGAAATCTGGAGCAATGGTTGCATGGAGACACGGGACCCACCAACCCACCTCTAACTTGGGAGATCCGCATGAAGATCGCCATTGGGACTGCAAAAGGGTATATGCTATTTACATATTTCATTCTATTATAAGTTTACAAAAAGTTGGAACTCTTTGCACAATATCTTTATTTGCATAGATTCAAGGAAACTTTGTAATTTGTTGCATACATTTCATTTATATTAATATTATATATGATTTTGTGGTTAGATTGGCGTATTTACACGAAGGGTTGGAGCCAAAAGTTGTTCATCGTGATGTTAAATCAAGCAACATACTCGTGGATAAAAATTGGAACGCAAAAGTAGCTGATTTTGGACTTTCCAAATTACTCGAATCTGGTAAAAGCTATGTGACTACACGAGTAATGGGGACATTTGGGTTGGTTTCTTAATTTACCCCATTAATTCATCCCAAATTTCTACCTCAATTTTTCCAAATTCTTATTCTTCATGATCCACAGATATGTGTCACCTGATTATGCAAGCACAGGAATGCTTAATGAAGGAAGCGACGTGTATAGCTTTGGAGTTTTACTTATGGAAATAGTCACCGGAAAGAGCCCAGTTGATTATTCTCGACCACCTGGAGAGGTACAATTAAAATTACAATTTCAAAATTATCATTTTGGTTGATTGACGAATATGCCCTTGTTGGTTGTATTTAGATGAACCTGGTTGAGTGGTTTAAAGGAATGGTGGGGAGTCGTCAAGGGGAGGAGTTGCTAGATCCAAAGATCAATGTACGCCCTTCTCCAAGAGCTTTAAAAAGAGCATTGTTGGTGTGCCTTAGATGTATAGATATGGATGCAAGTAAGCGTCCAAAAATGGGACAAATTGTACACATGCTCGACTCAAATGAATTTCCTTTTCGTGGAGTAAGTATTTTCTTTCTTGTACTTGTCTTTATTTATTGTAAAATGTTAGGACTTAATGAGTTGTTTCGTGACTTTCTCTATTATGTTAGTCTTTTTGCATTAACTTAAAAAAAGACCCATTATATATCACAGAAAATGCACAAATTTAGTCACCTTTCTTAATCGCTTTTAAAGAAATAGCCAAAATTAACCAAGTCGCAGTGGGGTCATTGCGAAATGCACTATTTATTGTGGAATTGGTCACCATGTTTAATGCATTTCCTTTTCACTTTTCCTCAAATCTCTCTCAACCTAAGATTACACTTTGGCAATATAAAACTTCCTTTTATTGTGAAAATGGTCTTTGAAGATCTCTACCATAAAAAAAACATCAAAAAATGTTTTCCAAATAAGAAGTCGTAATTTTCATAAATTTTTTCTATAACTTTTTTGCGGGGACCATACAATAGTATATTTCACAATGGCCAATTGTGAAATTGTCAACTGCTTTTAGAAAAAAAGTGAAATCTTGGCTACTTTTTGTAAATTGGCTATATTTTCATTTTAATTAAGTTCATTAAGTTTAATAGAAATAGCAACTGAGGTCATATTCATTACTTATAGGAACATCGGCTGCCTAGGGACACGACGATACCTCGTCCAAATGCACCTGCTACTTGTAAATTTCCTTTACAACCGGATGATGATGAACAAAGATCGAATTTGAGATGATTCTTTGTATAGTTGAAAAAACCCATGGACACAGGAGAGTAGGTATACTAGGCTACTTGATTCCATATTTACAAAATTTGGCATCGTTTTTGCGCATGTTACATTATTATGGAGAGACAAACATTTTGTTATTCTTTCTTGCTATTAGACACGAATGCCAATGCTACAAGTATTGATATGTAAATATGATTAGTTATCTCTTTTCTACTCTCAGGTATGAACTTGATCATCCTTTATATATACTAGAATCTGAAGGTCATTCGAAATCTAATGTACATAATGATGATCATACATCACAAGAAGATATACATTATTGTTGTATGTCATTTTTGCAACAAAACGTGAACATATTATACATAACAATTCATTCTTTAGAAAATGTGAGGTTGAGAATTCCATTCCCTCAAGTATGGATGTTGTTATAATACAACAATATTTCATATTTTTTTTATCAATTTGTATAACAATGTTCGTTTTTATACAATTATGTAATGGTGTGTTTAAAATAGGACCAATCGAGAAACTAGGTTTTTTTTTACTCTCTGCTAAAGGAAATTAACAACCCCATCATAGTTCTAACTTAAACCCGCCACTAGTTGAAGAACTAATTGTCGTTGAAGACCAAAGGTAGTAAGCCGCTACATTAGGGAAATCGTCCATAATAATGTGAGAAAACTGGTTCTCTAGTACACAACACAAGAATTTTTATTGTCCATGAAAATGTTCATCAAGTCGAGGTGTGTTGCCATGGATTTAGGTGCGATGATTTGACGGAGAAGATTTGTAACAACCCAATTTTTCAAAAGAAAATTTTCATTTTTAATAAGTCAAATATTTGCCACAAACCATAAAAACCCCAAATACAATTGTTTTCAATTTAGTAACAATAACAATTTTATTCCAAAACATCAGAGAGTCCCACAAATGCCTGAGAGAGAGTGCACGTCGCGTCATCAAGCCTTGTCCTTGCCCTTGGGCTCAGATGTACTTGAAACAAATCCACAAACTGTAAACTAATGCTTAATGAGTCCCCCAGAGCATACCCCACACCCAATCCACATAACACATATCATATTAGCTATAAAAGCTACATATATCACATAAGCCATGCATACAACATATAAGGAAGCCATGGAAACCCTCCAAGGTCTTACACCTAGTGCCACTGGAACCCTCACATGGTCTTAACTGTCTGCCATGGGAACCCCCACATGGTCTTCATTACCAAACAAAACATCATACAAACTACACATACAACTATACTAGGATGCCATGGAAACCCTCCAAGGTCTTATACCAAATGCCACGGGAACCCCAACGTGGTCTCATACTACTGCCACGGGAACCCCCCGGGGTCTTCCATACAAGTGTCATACTAACATAATGCATAATCAATCAACAATCCATATATCATAAAATGGGTCGGCCTTGGTGCCTTAGACCCATTGGTATGGTGAGAAGACTCACCTCTCGAATGCTAAACTGACAAGCTAAGATCAGATATATCCCACTTGCTGCTCCAACTCAACTGCCTATAATTATCATGTGATTAACTTGTCACGATCCCGAAATCCTATAAATACCCAACAAAGTCAACCCTGGTCAACCCTGGTCCATGTTGACCTCAACTCGTCGAGCGCATCCAGCAACTCGTCGAGTTATCTGCCTAACTTGTCAACTCGCCGAGTTACCTTTGTAACTCGTCGAGTTCCTCCTGAGTCCACTCCACTGAATCCCGAGTCAACTCGCCGAGTCACCTTAGTGACTCGTCGAGTTCATCAAATGTCCAGAAACCCAAAGTTCATCCAGACCAAGACCCTAATCCTTCACTGCACTCATTCAGAAACTCAAAAACAGGTAGACCCTACCCCGACTCGTCGAATCAACTAAGGGACTCGACGAGTTTCTTCAGTCCCTTTCATGTTCAGCCCTTTTCAGTAGGATCTAAGGTCCCAAACTTCAGATCCAACCTCCCCTAGTGTAGATACCATGTAAAGTTGCAAACTTTACGTGCATGCAAGGCCTTCCAAGGCTATAACATCAAAACTAAGCTTCCTACAAGGTTTTAGTGCATAGGAAGGGGCCAAGCTGGATAAAGTGAGCAACTTTATGTCATTGGGGACCTAGAGAGGTCCAGATCTGGAACCATATCCTTGTGATAAGTCCATATCCGAGTTTGACCCCATTTTGCACCCAAAAGTGACCACATTCGTCCATGAAATGAGATCTAAGCAAATAGAGATCAAGGTGGTAACTTTTTACCTCTAAATGGATGCTCACAACCAGTAGATGCTGGATCCCAAGCCTTCTCCTCTCTTCAAGCATCTCAACCTTCAAGTTTCCTTCTTCAAAGGCACAAGTTTCACTCTCTAAGACTCACACACACTCAAGGAAGCTCAAATATGCGGCTATGGTTTCTTTCTGGGTTGTAAGGACGGTGAGGGAGGCTACAAATGAGCCATAAGTCCTTTAAATAGGGTGCAATCCCCTGAAAATTAGGGTTTTTCTCTACAGCGCCTACTCGTCGAGTCGGGGCCTTCCAACTCGTCAAGTAGCATCCAAATTCTGTGTCCTCTAATAGTCTCTACTCGACGAGTTGGAGCACCCTAACTCACCGAGTCCATGCTTAAAACCCTAAAACTTAGATAAATTAAATAATACCTGGAACAAGTGTTACAAGATCATTTGATAGAACGATACATATACAAAATACAAAGATCAATGGGCCAAGACTACAAGGGCAGATAATACAACATGGTTTAAACTTTAAAGAATAATAACATCTACAATTATAATATATATATATATATATATATATATATATATATATATATATATACACATTAATATTTCCCCGCAGTTTGAACGAGAGGTTGATGAATGCTCAAACTAGACACAAAATCAATAAAAAGCCGTGATGGAAGGCCCTTTGTGAAGATATCAGCAAATTCGTATCTGGAGGGAACATGAAGAACGCGAACCTAACCAATAACGACTTTTGTCCCGGGCAAAATGGACGCCAGGTTGAATATATTTCATCCGTTGGTGTTGAATAGGGTTGGTGGTCATATAGATGGCACCAATGTTGACGTAATAGTAGTAGTAGACAATTATGGCATCTCGAAGAGGAATGTGAAGTTTACCAAGAAGATTTCGAACAATGATGCCTCTGCCTTAGTCAAATGGGTGACAATGTATTAACGTTTTGAGGACCACAGGTCTAGTCCCGGAGGAAGATACCACGGACGGAACACAAGTATTATAAGTAGGGGGCCGAAATTAAAATTTCAAAACAAAATCATATAGACAAAAAAAATTGCTCATAATAATGACATATCAAAATTTTAAACAAGAAGACGGGTAACAAAATATTGTTACGTCGCACTTCAAAATTGAAGTCATTGATCTTTTTCATTTTTAAAGTCTTGTTGCAACAGGAATACTAGATGTTGGATTCTAAGAAATAAGAATACTAGACATATTTATGGTATTTTCATCCAAAACAATCTCTAGTAGGTTTTCAGGTCCTAAAATAAAATTAACACATTCTTTTTATATAACTGGTTAATAGTCCATTGTTTTTTCATGTTAGATATGTATTGTACTAGCAATTAATAAATAACAATATATAATACTAAAATAAAATAACAGATGACAAATCTTACAGTATAAAAAATACTTTTTTTCGGATGTTTTTATGGGTTAATAACCAAATTTTGTAACTTATATTACATATAAAACTGAAAACTGAGCTCAAAACAAGAGGGGGCCAAATTACCAAATAGCAAAATATAATGATTATTGGATTCATTTATAAATAAAGCATCTATATATTAGGTATTATGAGGCTGAAAACTGGGGAGGCCATGGCTCCTCTTAGCGTTCGCCACTGGAAGATACAATACCAGATGTGGATCGTTCTGGTGGGACACTTAGAGCCGTTACAAACATATTTTGGGTCAGGACGAAAGAGAAAAATAAAACTTTTAAAATACACAAATTTCATTAACTTTTTTATAATAACTCAATAACTGAAAAAAATTATTTATACTAGCTTCTAAATATAACATTTTCGATTACAAAAATCTATATATTTAAAGAAAAATACTTCTAGCTTTTTGAGATGCAAAACTATTGATAAAATCTTCAAGAGCATCTTGTCTAACATATAATTAATAAAGTCCGTAAAATTTTTAAACCCCTTTAAATGATGAACCCTGGACAGTCGTCCCTATCGTCCACCCTCTGGGACGGACCCGAGAATACTCCCTCTCAATAAACAGATAATGGTGTGTCAGTGAAGCATAAAGATGAAGCACGTGGTTAAATATATCTCAAGATTCTATTGATTAGACTGGAGGGAGTGGTGACACCGAAACCGTACTCCCTTCGTTGCCACATAAGCGTCACGTCATTTTTACCACAAAAGTGTGGTTACTTGGCACACCCAAGGAGTGGTGCCACACTTTATTTAAAAAAAAATTGAATAAAAACATTGTTTTTCTCGCCACCCAATCACAAAATGATCAAATTCTCCCCACCCAATCACAAAACACGGCCATTTTTTACGACACTGCGGTCTAAACCGCACCCAAACCACAGTAAAGGGGCGGTGTTCCCCTGCCTGTGGTATGTCGGCCACATGAGTCTTCCATATTAACGTCAAAAGAATTCGAATCTTTTTGGTAATCGCAGTTTCAAAGAGCAAAAGCTTATCATTAATCGGAGCACCAGCAAAAATATGGAACTCGATTCGACAAAATATGATTCACGGCCGGCCGGACAGACTCACGTGACGGAGACACGCATCATGCCATGCAAGCACGCGCCACACACAAGCGTCCAAACACTCGATCCTCATGACGTCATCTCACGTGTTCTCTGTTCATCCCTATCTATAAAGCCCGTGGTCTCTGCATCGACCGACCTTAATTAACGTCCCTCTGTCAATTCAATTACACTGAAACCTCACATCGACAGTTGTAGATCAAGACGATGCA